CGCTACCCTGACCCTGAAAACATGACTACCCAAAACCCTCACCCACACCCGCAATGGCTCTTTCTACATTTACATGCTAAGAAGCAGGAGATACAAATTTTGTTAGGAGTGGAGGGTGGCCCTCAAGAACCGGGGACCTGGGCCAGCCCACTGTCACTTAGGAGCTAAGCTGGGGGGGGCAGCCCAACATTTGGTAGTGAATGACAGCACTTTCAAGAACCATGGGCAGCCCTCCATCTTCTTAAGAGCTGGGAGTAGTGACCAGCCTCTGCCTAAGAACTGCTGGGTGCACTTTGATTGTTGGGCCTGATGCTGGCCCGTTTTTCTTTAGAACTTTGGGCAGCCCACCTTTTGCTCGAATCTCAGAGCTGAACCCCTTAAACCGAAGACCGAAGGAAAATACTTTTGTTCTTAAATTTTGAGGGTATGGGGGCATGGCCGCAACCCATATTTCTTTACGATCCGGAGTTGGCCCAACTTTCATTGGGACCTGAAGGCGGCCCCTGACCTTAAACGTGGAAATTGTTCATTAGGAACTGAGGACCGGCAACCTTCTGTGAGAGTTCTGGGGGCAGTGCACATTTTCTGTTAGGACCTGATGTACCCTTAGTTTTTCTTAGGTACTGAGGGGCAGCCCAACTGAAGGAGGGCACAAGGATGCTGTGTTGACGGCCACGTTGCTTCTCCAGCCAGATGGGGGAAAAAAAACTCAAATACCAATCAGGTGCACAAACACAATGGCAAAGAGTCGCCGCCACTGATCAAGTATCCCCAATAACCCAGCCCCCACCCGCCGCCCGGCGTCGGCCGCCACAAAACTCCATAACAGTCTACTGATCTCACCTTTAGAAGAAGAAAAAAAAAATCTTTTATCATGGTTGTTGGTCTTGTTTTATGGCTTTCTCAGATATATTCAGCAAAAAGTCTTTGATAAGAGAATAAACAAAAGTCAAGGTCCATTTGGAAAAAACACTCACGAATCAGAGAAGTCGGGGACTGCATCGACTGCACAACTCTCTGAGTTTAGCAACAAGGTAAGAATAAAAACAATAAATTAATTCAAGTAAAGCTTAAACATCCGCACGATTAGCGTCAGCTTGTAGAGTTTGGTCTGAAAACACAGAGCACAGAGAGTGAAAAAAAACAAAACAAAAAAAAGCAAACGCGGTGTTTCTTGTGGTAGAAGGACAAGGCGTGGGTTTGGTCAAACAGGGCCCCCGTAAGGCTCACGTTGTGGGAGTGAGCCGGAGCTCCACATTGCAAAATCGCACCAAGTCAACACAATCACAGACCGACGGAACGAATAAACATGTTTCTTTTCATTGAGGGAAAAAAATTAAAAAACAAAAGAAGGAAAATTGAGTGATCAGTTTGACTGAAAATACATACATCTCATCTGCGTTCCAGATCTTTGTACACCGTGCGCCCTTCAGAACAGGACCAGCCCAAATATTTCGAACGAGAGGTCCAAATTTGGAATCTTTCAGCAAACAAAAGCACACAAGTTGGATTCACCGGGGTTTCAAACGCTAATGATCCAACAATTCAAACCGTTACGTCGTAAAATATCTTTTATCTTTGTTCTCCTTTGGTATTAGTTCAACGTTGGACGTATCCATCACATATATAGACGATGCAGGATTACTTCTATTGGGCGGGACCGACCCAGGTCCACCCTGGTGGCCTTTCTGAGGTCGTCTCCCACCAGCAGGACAAGAACATTGACAGTTAGTGCAAACGTTCGCGCTACGCTCAGCTAAAGCACCACTTCCAGTGCCATCAGGCTTGAAATCCCAGAAAAGACACGCGAGCAACCGGGGCAGCAGTTTACCGGCACGGGCCCAGTCGACATCACCCACATCCAACATTCACACGCTCAGGAGCCACGTTGTCGCATAACAACTTCAAGCAAAGCCAACCCCCCCCCAAAAAATAACACCTTGACAAACCTGCGATTCTACACAGGCAGGCCCCGTTTGGACAAATGACGCCACTTTCACATAGAGCAGGTGCCAGTGCTGGTTCTGAACCGGTGCTTGGTTTGATTCAATTTTTCGTTCATTCGTAAGAATAAGTGTTTGTTTCCGCAGCGGCGTGACATTTGACTGGTTTCTTGCCGTATGGGCGTTTGGGGTCACGACCCCTCCCCGCTCGAGCAACCAGTTTTATTTTTGGGTTCTCAGCTCTAAACCAGCACAGGTACGAGTAGCGTCAGAATGCTTTCACATCTGTAATTTGCTTCCTGGCTCCTTACCAGCTTACGATTGAGTAAATTTGGTCCGTTTCTCACGAACCGTTTTCATGAGAAACCAAAGATGTGCTCGGTTGAGGGTTCGTTCATTTGCCAGTTTCGCAAAACAGGTCGCAATTGTGATGAAAACGGAGTTAAAAAAAAAAAACGTTACAAGTGTGAAAGCACCCTAAGACTAAGAGGAAAAATAAAAGGTCTAAATATACATACACAGGTTTCGATGGCTCAAAGGTTATTACGAAACAAAACTGGCTTACGGTCTGTACTAAAGCATCCGTTCGCTTTTTTATTTTCTTTTAAATGAGGATGGGGACTCAAGAAAAAGAAATTAAAAAAGTACACTCTCAAGGCCCCGGACAGCGGCTGACAATGACCAGCGAGGGTAAACCCACGATTTATGCAAATGTGCACCAAGAGAGCTGTGAAGTAAACAAGCGACTGTCCGATGAGGTGTTTTACAACATTGGGGGCCCCGTTATCACCGCACACTTAGGAGGGGAGCTGGGGAACAGATGGGGGCAACGTTTGTTTACACAAGCTTATCCCGAGACCCTGCAGTCCGCCAGACAGCAATGCATGCTTGCGCACGCAAAAACAAACAACTCTCTCCTGCTCTACCTAAAGAAAAGACATTTATTTAGACAGCTCGCTAACCGCTAACTTCAAGTGCAATCAGTTACATGAATTATCTTTGACCAGGGCTTTCTTCTAGAGCACTAGTTTGCTTTTTTTTTGCGTGTGTGGGTGGGTGTGTTTGGCAGTTCATCGTGAAACGTCAAAGGAAAACAAAGAAAAAGGGCCTTTATTTACCGCCACTAAGTGAAGAAAGGGGGCAGATCTCATTTGCAACTTTTTTTTTTTCCTCTCTTAAGTACCCGTTTTGTTAACAAAAGTGCCCTTGTGTTGTAACAAAGTGCTTGCGGAACCTGCCTCGTTCTGATTAAGGTGCAATTGAGGACAGGAGGAGTACAGCAGAGATGATCTTGTTTGTATCAGGCAAGGGGAGGGGCCCTCGGTGAGGGAAGTGTTTGGGGATAGGTCCAAGTAGGGATGGGCATAAAAATGGTTTGGCGTCCACAAATCGGTTCAAATGGAGTGTTGTACTGTCCTGTTGATTCAGGGTCAACTAGTTTGTGGTTCTAAAAGTTAAAAAAAAAAACTTCCGCTATGGGTGGCCGAGCTACGTCAACTCCTCCGAGTGCAGAAAAAGTAGTTCAGAATATTCGGATTCTCTCACTCATTTAAAAAAAAAAAAAAAAAAATGCTGAACAAAATATAGAATCAATGGTTAATTTTTCCCATGGTTGATTAAGAAATCAATCCAAATGCCCATCCCTACATTCAAAGATCAACAAATTTGAAATATGACGATTCATTTCTGACGTCTCGTTTCCACCAAGCAGTACAATTCGGTAAATCGGTGTTTCCACTGTTCAGGTTTTGAAAGTATCTCGCACTGTACTGTCCCACTTTTCAGCACTCTTGTGCCAGCGACAAAGTAGGAAAGAAGTTCACATCTTGGCCGTGTCTACGAATAAGGTCCCCCCCGTCGCTGCACGGCGGGGAAACCCGCGCCAGGTAAACATGACCCGTGTCCATACTGCGCCGCGGCGAAGCGAACCGGACTGCTCGGTGGAAACGTGACTTTGAGGAGAGACAGAAAAGTGCGCTGAGGCTGCAGCTCAAGGTGCATGTTTGAACAGGCCGGGGCTGACTCACACACTGATGATGTGGCCAGAGGGACCCTGGCTGCCACGCACACACACAAGCAAGCACACACACACGCACTCATGGTAACGCCAGGCTCTATTATAATCATATCCCTTAAGGGAATTAGAGGTCCACATAGTGTGTGGGGATGGGGGTGGGTGGTGGTGGGGTGGGGGGCGTGATCCGATCCCCCACCCTCCTCCTGCATGAAAACGTGGCTGAGCTGGGGGAGATTATTTTTTTGGAATGCATCAGACATGGCGAGAGCCGCCTCCCTTCCCCTTTCCTCCCGCGAACAAGCTGCAGCTGCACTTCTAGTTGGCCTCCTGACACGGGCAGGTATTTACTGCTCTCTACATCGTCCAGGTTGTGAGGTCCCAAAAGAGAAAGCTATATATTATTATTAAAAAAAAAAATCTTTCTTTAAATCTTTAAATATACTCCCCTTGCCCCCCCTTTTCTACTGGATGTCTTTAGTGGAACTATACAAACAGGGGGCGGATAAATAAATAAAATGTGTTCATCTTTTCTATTCATTCTCATTTGGTCTCCCTGTTGTTCCTTAAACCTGCGCCTTGTCACACAAGGACACACTGCACAAAGCGAAGCACATTCATTCAATCACTTGAAACGACTCATCATTTTTAGGCAGGAACTGTCAAGTTTTTGTCTCTCCCCTCAGGTGACTCCATACCGTCGCTCAACAAACATTCATACGGGGTTGTTTGCCAACGCTGTGAGAAATACGACATCCAGCCCACGAGAAGCCAGAACGGTTCACAGGGACGTCATATCAGCCCATGCTGTATATACATGTATACATTATAAAGTGTCAAGTACCCAGTCAACTCAAAAAAGGAACAAAAATCAAATTAAGACGGGAAAACTTAAATTGCAGGGGTGTGAGGGCAGTGGTAGCGTTTTAAAAACACCGAGCCTCGTACTCCCTCATCCTGCAATCCTCGAGCCCCCAACCGATGTGGATTCGACTCAGTCGCTAAGACAAAACGATGGATTCTCCCGATACAATTTTTTTTTGTTATCGAGTAAGTAACACTTCAATCAAACCCTTGTCTATGACTCTTTCTGGAACATTTGGAGAGCGAGAGAGAGAGAGCAAGCGAGCGAGTTGTTGCATCACAAGTGTGGTGAGTTTTTCCTTGCATATGCCATATTATGGCAAGGTTGTTTCTATGGTAACTGTACATCTCTAGACCTGCAAAAGAATAATAATAAAAAAAAAAAGCTGTTTTCTCTGGGAAAGATTTGTCCTCGCTTCACCCGTACGGCAGCCGGAAGGAGCTCAGACACCTTTGCTCAGAGCTCACCCGATAATAAAAACCTAAAATCAACTGCATAGTTTCTTAGTGTCCTTTATACATTTTGCCAATGTATAAAACCCCCTATTATTCATGATAAGAAAGAAATGGCCCAGAAAGTGGACGTTGCGGGTGTGTGATTCGAAGCGTTCTTTGCTCTTTCAACAGACTCAAGTGCTTTCACGTCTACTTTGTTTCCCCAAAGTAAAAGGAGAAAGAAATGTTCAGATTAAAATTTTTGTGACACCCTGATTTGGTTTATAGAGCCATATTTAGTTTATTTTTGTAATATCTATATATTTTCTTTGAAGTCTGTATTTTTCCTCCTCTGTGTAGACAGGTCGGAGCAGAGTTACGTGACGGCGTCCGTCAATTTTTTAAGAGTTTGTCTCAGGGTCCAGCCCCCACTACTAGGTGCGGGCTGTGTGCGTGGGTCCCCTCCACCTCAGACTTGAGAGCTTCCGAGAGTTGCCGGCCCTTGATGATGTGAGGCTCCAGGCCGGTGTCTGAGCCGGGGCTCAGCAGGCCTATCGGGGCATCCAGGAGCCCCGGCTCTCGCACCCGAGGCTTTCGGCCCCGGCGGGACGGGATGCCGTTGCAGCCGTCTTTCTTGAGGTGGCGGTGCAGGTGGTCTGAGCGTACAAAAGTCTTAAAGCAGCTGGAGCACTGGTAGGGGCGCAGGCCAGTGTGAACGCGCATGTGGTTCTTCAGGTCGTAGTTGTGAGCGAAGGCGGCCCCGCATTGCGTACAAAGGTAAGGCTTCTCTCCCGTATGCTTCCGCATGTGAACCTTGAGCTTGTCCTGCCTGGAAGGAAGAAGGAATGGCAAAAAAAGGGCATTAGAATAAACTCTTAATGAAATCCACTTGAGAAACATCAAAACATAGTGATTCTTACGAGGTCAACTAAATACATTGTGAATGTTTTTTTTTTCTTAATGGCTGAAAATTTGGCTCACATCCAGGCGGTGTAAAGACCCCTTCCCCATTCCCCGCCCCCGAATTGTGAGGTCAAGCAGGTCGACTCAAGTGAAACCATAAAGTCCGCATCTTTATCTGTGTAATTGCACTCAGGAGCACAACTGTAGCCTGACAATAAAGCTCAACGTTCACTGTGGCATTTTTTTTTTTTTTTTTTTTTTTTTTTTTTTAGTCAAATCCAACATGGCTGCACATCTTCAGGAGACTAACGTTTAATAAACAGCTCGAGAAAGGAAATGAAAAGTGCTCTCAGCATATGGACGGAAACCGCGGG